TAAGGCTGGGGGAAGCGGAGAGCATGCTGCCCACTGGGAAGGCGGGAAAGCCAGGGCTCTGCCACCCACGAGGGGTGCTCCGGCCACGCCAGCTCTGGGCTGGAGCACACACAGGTCACACTCGGCTCAGCGGGGCCCTCAAGCCACCTGTCCTCACGACTGTGTGTGGTCACCACCACCATCGGGGCCGGTGGGGGATGCCAGAGCCCGAGAGGCCACAGGCTCAGCATGGCGGCTTCTCCTGAGACAGCAGGGTGGGGTGTTTGAGGGGGTGTGTGGGGTGTGTGTGGAGGGGTGTGTGTGGGTCTGTGTGGGGTATGGGGGTGTGTGTAGGGGTGTATGTGGGGTGTGGGTGTGGGGGGGTGTAGGGAGGGGTGTGGGGGGTGTGTGTGGGGTGTGTGTGAGGGGTGTGTGTGGGGGGTTGTGTGGGGTATGGGGGTGTGTGTAGGGGTGTATGAGGGTATATGAGGGGTGTGGGTGTGTGGACGGGTGTGTGGGATGTGGGGAGGGGTGTGTGTGGGGGGTGTGTGGAGGGGTGTGTGTGTGGGGTGTGTGGGGTATGGGGGTGTGTGTAGGGGTGTATGTGGGGTGTATGGGGGGTGTGGGTGTGTGGGGGGTGTAGGGAGTGGTGTGAGGGATGTGAGTGTGGGGTGTGTGTGTGGGGTGTGTGGGGTGTGGAGGGGTGTGTGTGGGGTTGTGTGGGGTATGGGGGTGTGTGTAGGGGTGTATGTGGGGTGTATGAGGGGTGTGGGTGTGTGGGGGGGTGTGTAGGGGGTGTGGGGGATGTGTGTGTGGGGTGTGTGTGTGGGGGGATGTGTGGGGTGTGTGAAGGGGGGTGTGAGTGTGGGGTGTGTGTGTGGGGGGTGTGAGGGGTGTGTGGGGTGATGTGTGGGGTATGTGAAGGGGGGGTGTGAGTGTGCGAATTCCACCCCTGAACTTGGAGTTTGGGAGGGAGGGGCTCAAATGGAAAACATCCGGTCTCGGACCCTGCCTCCGGCCCCGTGACGCCTGGGGTGCTGCTCCTCCCGGGACACCGGAGTGTGTACCACAGTCCCCCTCACACAGACCGGAGCACGGTGGGAGGTTCAGCAAGTAAGATGGGGTCTCGGGTGGACGCTGACCTTGAGAATGGAGGGGAGAGCCAGAAGCTCCGTGCTCCTAAATGTCAGCGCCCATCACCTGGCTGGCTGGGGAGGGAGGCTCTCTCCTCTCAGGCCTCAGTTTCCCCACTCAGGGCTCCAGGGCTTTTTGTCCTAAGTGGCTCGGGCCACCGGGAGATGAGGCCTGTGCTCCACGGCCTTGCAGGGACTCTCAGGCCCCAGGCGCCTCTGCATCTGTGTCACCAGGAAGAAGTATTTGGAATCAGAAAACATGTCATCACCGGTTTTCTCTAAGTAACATCCCACCAAACATTTTTAAATGAAAACTCCTTAATCTTCAGGAAGACTGAAACAACCCAGGAAGAGGCCTGTCGTTATCATCCTGGCCCACAGTATTTTAACATCTCTGGAAAAAACGCTTTAATTTGGTCTGTTTGACTTTAAAAAAACGGAGCTTTCCGTACAGACCCGAGGGTCTCAGCGCCAGGAGGCAGGACCTGGCATGGAAGCCCCAGGACGGCAACTTCAAAGGGGAAAAGGCAAGACCAGCATCCTGCCTCCCCGCCCGCCAGGGGCCACCCCGGCATCCTGGAAGCACTGGCTGATAGTGGCGCCCCTGGAAAACCCTGGTCACCGTGGCAGCTGAGAACCCACCAGGCTGGAGGGGCCGCCAGGGGCTGCAGGCAGACAAGGCCTGGGCGGCAGCCAGCACCCACCAGCGTCTCGGAGCAATGACAGTGGCTGCCGTCACCGGCTTTATCGCCACACAGGGAACATTCCAGAAGCAACACGCCTGGTGTTTGTACAACACTTGGCTTCCAAGCAGCACAGAACCCTGACTCACCAGCTTGGGGGCCGCGGCTGTGCCTTGCCTCTGCCCGATGCGGCCCCAGCCACCACCCTCCCTCCCCACGCAAGACAAAGGTCAAAGACCTGATGTAACCTTCATGGACAAACTCAGGCTGGCGCAAGGGCGCTGTGGGGCCTGGACAAGCCAGGTGCAGGCCTCATCTAGACAAATCCCTCGTGTGGGACGCTCTCAGAGCCCAGCGATCCGGGCAGTGGAGCAAAGGACCCGAATGCAAGCCAGCCCTCAGGGCCAGCACAGGGTCCCGCCGCCTCCCACAGCAATGCCGCACGGACACACCCCTTGCCGGGAGCTGACCCACCCACACGTCTGGGGTGATCCGGGTGGACCCCATCGCGCTTGCCCGCAGGGGAAGGTGGAATGGGCAGGCTGAGATGGACAGTTCAGGGAGAGGCCCACCAGCACGCTGGAGTCGGCTCTGTGTGCAGGGCCAGTCCAGGCCCCGCTGTCTCCTGCCTCCCATTCATTCGGTGACACTCATCTGTGCACAGTCCTGGAGCTGACCACACCGCACAGAGCAAAGACCCTGCTCTCAGGAGCTTTCCTTCTGATGAGGAAAGAAGGAAAACCAGGGCCCCAAAGTGTCCAGGAGCATCGTGGCCAGGCCAGGAGGGTGCGGACAAAGAAAGGCACAGGCCGGGTACTTCTCTTTGAACTGGGAGATCAGACCCTGAGAAGGGGCCAGAGGTCCGGCTGGGCAAGGGGAGCCGGCGTGGATGCCCCCAAGGGCCCTGGAACAGCCTCCACCTTCCTTCCCTCATGGTCCCATCCCAGCCTCAGCCCACTCGTGGCCATCAGCAGCCACCCTACGGCCGCCCAGGCCCCCGCTTCTGGCCATGAGGCCCACACCACCTCTGCAGCCCCCATCACACCCACGGTGCTCAGCTCCAGCTCCAGCTGCAGGCCCCCTCCCACCTGCAGCAGGGGCATCTAAAACCCTGGTGCCCGAGGGTTTAGTCCACCCCCTAGATCGGAGATTTCCCAAAACTCACGTCCCCCAGAACCTCAGAGTATTTGGAGCCAGTCAAGGTAAGGCCACATCGGAGTAGAGAGGGCCCTAGCCCAACGTGGCCTGTGTCCTTATAGGACGTCACAGACACAGGGACGGGAGCGACGTGGCCACAAGCCAGGACGCCAAGGGCTGCTGGCATTTGTGGCACCCGGAGGAAGTGTCTGGAATCAGAAACACAAGTAATCACCAGCAGCCGGACAGGCAAAGAGGACCCTGCCCTGCAGCCCGAGGGAGCGCAGCTCTCGACACCGAGTGCAGACCACCGGCCTGTGGGACACACACAACGTGCTGCTGTCTGACGACCCCACTGTGTGCCAGTTAGCGCAGCTCTCCACACCCTGAGTGCAGACCACCGGCCTGCGGGACACACACAACGTGCTGCTGTCTGACGACCCCACTGTGTGCCAGTTTGTCACGGCAGCTCCAGGAAAGGAACTGTTCAGCCAGCGAGGCTGGTCAGGGTGTGCGGAGCCTGGCCCGGAGCAGTGGGGATGGTCCCTGCTTGCATGAGGACCAGGGCGGCAGCTGGTGACAGACACACAGCTCCCGGGAATAGGGACTGCTCACTCAGCGAGGGGCCCGAGAGGAACGGGAGGAGGGCCGGGGGCTTTCTTGGGGAAAGGCGGATCCAACAGCTGCTGGGTGTGGGCATTGCAGAAGCCTGGTGGGTGCTGCGAGGGGTTTCCTCAGTCCCCCTTGGAGTGGCCACACTAAGTGCAGACTGAGGGCAGCCAGGGACAAAGGAGACCCTGGGCCCCTGGAAGGAGGACCTGGGCCTGCCCGGGGCTGAGGACTGAGGACAGCCAGGGACAAAGGAGATCCCAGGCATCTGGAAGGAAGACCCGGGCCTGCCCGGGGCTGAGGGAGGGTGACCCCCCAGGGCCTGCTGCTGTCCCAGCCAGGAGCCCTTCACCCTGGACCTGGCATTTGCTGTTCCTTTGGCCAACACCCCACACCCCGGGCAACCAGACACTGCCCTTCCTGCGGGACTGGCGGCGGTGGGGGGAGGGGCGCTACTCCCACTGCCTCTGCTGTCTCCCACTGTGCCCCACAGCCCCCCATATGCCAACACTGGGTCTGGGGCTGAGGCACCCAGGATGTGCCCAGGCTGGGTCTGTGGGCCTCGAGCCCGGCATCCACCGTCCCAGCCCAGAGCTTCTCAAAGGGTCATGCAGGCCAGCGTCAGGCACCTCCAGGCCCCAGGAGGCTTTGACCTGCTGTGTTAACCCTTTAACTCCGAAAAACGCACCGAGGGCCCCAGGGTCTAAAAGGCATGAAAGCCCAGTCAACTGTAGAACTTGTTTAAATTGATGACTGGGGGATTCATGTTCCTTCTCCTGAAGCTCCTACAGTCATCCTCTCTGACCTGCTGATGCAGGGGCTCTACCCCAGGTGTCTGTCCAGAGAACACACATGCCCCATCCTCTGCCTCGAGCCTCCCTCTCAATGGTGGCCGGGAGAACTCAGCTGACAGCCACGGCGAACCCCACACTTGGACGCTCTTCTGTCACGGGACGACCCCGTCCCAGCTGCCGCCATGGCTGAGGGTCGGGCTCTCTGCACCTGCAAAGAATGCTGGGGTGGCACCCGTGGGAATACCATCAAGGGCTACTTCCCTGGGACAATCTGCGTCCATCTCAGCCGATGGGACACCTGCTGCCACTCCTGCCCGTCGCTGTCCTTCCACAGCACCCTCCTCCACGCGACTCTCAGGCACCGCCAGGGGCTGCTCGCCCAGGGAGGAGTTAGAGGCCCCTGAGCCCGCAAGGATCCCTAGAAGAGGGGCTGCGAGCCACAACCAGACAGGAGTAATTTCAAAACCAGGAAACAAGAAGGTTTTTAAATTTTTATTTTTTAGAGACAGGATCGCTCTGTCACCCAGGCTGGAGTGCCGTGGCGCAATCTTGGCTCACTATAGCCATGGCTTCCTAGGCTCAAGCAATCCTCCCACCTCAGCCTCCCCAGTAGCTAGAACTACAGGCACGCACCACCACGCCTGGCTAATTTTTGTATTTTTTTCGTCGAGATGGGGTCTCACTATGTTGGCTGGTCTTGAACTCCTGGCCTCAAGTGATACACCTGCCTTGGCCTCCCAAAGTGCTGGGACTGCAGGTGTATGTCACTGCGCCCGGCCAGATTTTTCACAAGAAACCCAGACCATGGGATGAGGATGTTGGAGAAAGTGGAAGCCGCCCCCGCCCGCCTCCCCACCACGCTGCCCTGCCTGCATCCCACAGACGTTGTTCCCAGCACTCGCTCTACCACAAAAATGGTTTTGTTGCAAGCACTGGTTTGTGACCAGCTCCTCTGAAGCGAGAAGCCCGTTCTCTAAGGAGCTGGGGCTGGGGCTGGGCAGCCAAGCCGGCCCCACCCGAGGGAGTGTGGGATCCGCTGCCTGTGGCTCCTGTACGCCCGTCTGTCCCATCATCGGGGCCTCGGAGGGTGTCCAGGCTGTGTCTGTGGATGCCGTGTCTGCTCGTGTCAGGGAAGGGCCAGGACACTGAACAGAAGGGATGCAGGCTCCAAGTCGTCTCGGCCACCCACTCGCCAGGAAGCCTTTGGTGGGGCTGCTGGGGCTCTGAACCCTGAGCAGGCGGCAGGGCCGGGGAGGTTGGACCACGGGCGCTCACGACAAGAAGGGCCATGCACACAGGGGCCACCCACATGCCCTGGAGCCCCTGGGACTACCCCCACCCCAGGCAGCCTGGGAAGGCTAAGGGTGCTGGGCCCCTGCCTGGGAGCTGAGAGTGGTCCTGCTCTGTACTTCCCAGACACCCCGAGTGGGGTACACCACCACGCCCAGCCTGCCCAGCCCTGCTGCAGGACATGGGCCAGCGAGGTCCCACAGAGCACTGGGGTGGGGGAGCAGGGGCAGGGGGAGCCCAGCTGGGCCTCAGGGGCCTGGGGACGCACCACCCCCTTGCTTTCCACACCCTGAAAACAAGGACTGATCAGTCACTGATTCACAGTCCAACAAACCTTCAAATACCAGGGCTTCCAGCAACAAAAGAGGCCCTCTCCTGCTTCTGGGTCAGCAAGAGCTTCAGGGCTGGGCCCACTCCGCGTCTCCTCCCTGCAGAAGGACCCTCTGCTCTCCGCCCCCAGAGCAAGGCAGTGGGCTGCCTGGGTTTGGAGCAGCTGGGAAGAGCGAGGGCAATGGTTGGGGTTGGGGGCACAGCCCAGGGGGTGCATACACAGGCAAAGAGCAGGCTGGGGCCTTGCCAGGGCCATCTGTGTCCCTGGTCACTGAGGGTGGCAAGGGAGACTGGAAGGGAAACAGACCCCCAGGTGGGGAGGGCCCCAAGCCAGCCCCCATGGCAGCCCCTGCAGGCCTCAGTGCTCCTGGATCCCACCAGGGCCGCAGCAGGAACCGAGGCTGAAGCAAATCAGGGTGGCTGGTGGCACAGTTGGGGCCACACCCAGGCACAATTCCCTCCCAGGGGGCTAGCTTGGGGGCACCGGTGCCAGTTCAGGGACGGATTTAGGGCCTCCACAACTACAGTCCCCACAAACCCTGTGCACGGCCCGCCCTGACTCAGCGTGGGGGCCGCAGCTGCCAGCGGAGGGATGTGGCTTGTCGTACTGAGCAGAGCAGGGGCAGCTGTCCCAGGGTGGGCCCAGCCCTGTGAATCAGGGAACAGCTCATGGGAACGGCCCTGGGGGTGCAGGGTAAGTTCACAGAGCCCTTTATTGAGTCCCACAACCGACCAGAAGGAAGGGCGTCCACCAGGCTCAGATCATGGTCCTCGAGGGGCTGGCGCTCTCTACCTGGCCCACACGTGTGTCCTGAGGAGTTGGGGCACGCCCACTGCCCTGGTCAGAGCTGGCCGCCACCTTCCAGCTGCATCTGCCGGGCCAGCGTCTGCCCGATCGCCACCAGGGGTCTGGCTCTGTAGGCCGGACTAGCCAGCAGCTCCCGAAACCGGGTCCTTTCTTCTTCACTGAAAGAATGGAGACCACAGATCAGCAGGCAGGAACCCCCAGGCCCCTCAGCACCCCCAGGATCCGACACAGCTCAGCCCCTCAACACCCAGGCACGTCGGACACCGGAATGAATGGCAGAGGCCTGGGGCCACCGCTGGACTGAATGTCGGGGCCTTGGAAACTTCCAGCAGGAGGGGAGAGGCTGCCCCGGGCCCGCAGGGCCACATGCATCCCAGAGCCCTGGCAGTGCCCACTGTGGGGTGTGCCGTGGAGCCACATGCGTCCCAGAGCCCTGGCAGTGCCCACTGTGGGGTGTGCCGTGGAGGTGTCACCCGGCCCTGGCAGTGCCCACTGTGGGGTGTGCCGTGGAGGTGTCACCCGGCCCTGGCAGTGCCCACTGTGGAGTGTGCCGTGGAGCCACATGCGTCCCAGAGCCCTGGCAGTGCCCACTGTGGGGTGTGCCGTGGAGCCACATGCGTCCCAGAGCCCTGGCAGTGCCCACTGTGGAGTGTGCCGTGGAGGTGTCACCCGGCCCCGGCAGCAAGTCTGGGGCTGATGGGGCTGCTGTGAAGGCTGAAAAACAGGACGGCAACTCACAAGCCCTGCAGACCACACCTTACATAAGAGACGGCTCCCTCCACGGGCGACCAAAATAGACGCACACGGAGGAGAGCCGAGAGCTGGACAGCCTGAGCTGGCACAGGCCTGCAGCAGAGGGGGGCACGGCAGCCCCAGATGGATGCCACGGCGACGACCCAGCACAGCACCAGCTCACCCCAGCCACCACCCAGCCTGGCAGCCACTCAGCTCCTGCTCTAAACACAGAGCAGCTGCCGGCATCCCAGAGGGGTGCCCGGTGGAACACAAAGGTGACATGGGTCCCATCTCAGGCACAGAAGCCTCGGGGGCAGCTAACAAGGCTCCTTCACACCCCACTGGATGACCGCCTGGGCAGGATGCCCACACACCAGAGCCACCGAGGACAGCGGGGCTGGGGCCATCTCCACAGCAGGAGGCGGTCAGGGCTCTGCTAGTCACTGACCACCGCCTCCTCCTGCCACTGCCATGCTGGCCCCAGCATGGCAGCTGGGACACTCCCCGTAAAGTCAGGGTGAAATGCCTCAGTCACAGCCTGGACATCACTAGTGAGCTCTGGGGCTATCAGGACCCAACAAGGCCCCACCAGGGGCAAATGAAGAACCGAGGCCAGGGAAGGCCCAGGCCAGGTTCTTAGCACTATGGTCCATCGGGCAGAGTCCTGGGTCAGAGCTGGGGGGGAAAGGAGCCATGACAGTGACGCTTGGAAGCGAAGCTGCACGGGGAGGGGTTGCAGGGGGAGCCTGTGCCTGTGCCCGAGTTTGGACACGGTATGGGACACGGGCTCAGAGCCCCTGGCACTGTGTGACTGCCACGCTGGGCCAGGCCTCCAGGTGCCATCCTGGACAACCGTAAACACAGACTCACAGACAGGGCCCTCCCACCTGAGAGAACAGCCCTTTCCTTGGTTTGGTACACATGGGAGCAGCCGTGGGGCACAGACCACCAGCCCCAGGAGCTACAAGGCTCATGCCCAACACGGAGCCCCCAGGGGAGCACGACCCAGGGAGGGGCCACTGTTGCTTCCCACTGGAATCTTGGGATTGAAGAATCCAAAGCCACTCAAACACCTGAGCCCTGTCCACACATGCCAGAAAGCACCACAGACACAGAACACGGAGTGAACAAGGGGCCTCCCGCTCTCCTCTCAGAAGCAACAAGAAACCAAACTCAATCTTTCATGAAACCAGGAGACCTGTTAACCTGAGCTGCTTCGAAATGCAGCGACCCCAAGGACGTGGGGGCACCAAGGGGTGCGGGCCACAGATACTCTGCGAGAGGAAAACCTGTCGCCCTGTCCGGGCAGGGAGGGGCTCCCTGGACCAGGCTATACACTGGGGAGAGGTGGAGAGGGAGGCCAGGCAGGAGGATGGCCACAGGGAGAGGGCTCTGCCGTTTCCAAACTGTCTCCAGACAAGACTGACCTGGGAAGAACTCAGTTCATAAACAGAGAAGCACAAACCAAAGAGGACAAACATAAAGATCTACAGGAAGACCCCGCTCCTGAGGAGGCCGAGGCAGGAGGATCACTGTAGCCCAGGAGGCGGAGGCTTCAGTGAGCCTTGATCACACCTCTGCACTCCAGCCTGGGCCACAGAGCAAGTAACTGTCTCTAAAAAATAAATACAAAAACATTTTAAAAAACTAAAAAGACAGTTTACTATAGTGTCTATACTTCACTCTAGACACGACGAAGTGTCTAGAGTTAAAATGGATTAGAGAACACGAGATGGAAGACAGATTAGAGAGATGCAGTAAATTCGTAATTGGTGCCCCTGAAGAAAAGCCAAGACAATAAAGAAATCTTTGGAGCTACCATTCGACACCAGCTTCTAAACACAACCGTACTCACGAAACAGACTTCAGATTCTACACTGGAAGGGCACAATGGGCCTCAGTAGAAACTGACACGGAATGTTCCCTACTGAGAACTATCTTAGCAAAGTTAGTTCGAAAACAAAGAAAAAAATCATTCCAGTAGCTTAACTAAAACCATCTTATAAGGGCGTAAAACGTCCCTCAGTGGAAACTGGAGCTGAGTCTACAAAGAGGCAAGAGTGTGGTCTGCAGGTTTCTGTACCCCAAGAGGACAACTAAGTACAAATTTCTGCCAATTACAGGGTCCTAGCCCTGCTAACTGGGGGCCGCAGTGCCCAGTCACAGAACCAAACATGACCATCCGGGGTTCAACCAGCCAGGGGAGGGGAGGGGCGGAGCGGGGGCTGCGTCCACCCGTCATTTTAGATCCATGACTCTCCTTGGAAGCCTTCCTGGGAGGCGGGCCCAGGGCCACAGGACCTGACTGCACTCAAGAGCCCCCCTGGAGTGGATAGGCAGGAGCTAGTGGAGCAGCATGGAGGGGACTGGGGGGGACGGGGGCGGGGTTCTCAGCCGCTGAACCCCTGAGAGGGCAGGCCGAAGGCACTCAGGACCCTTGGAGAGGGCAGGATGGGGGCACACAGGAGCTGAACCCCTGGAGATGGTGGGCAGGGTGAGGGCACTCAGGAGCTGAACCCCAGGGAAGTGGATGGGGTGGGGGCACTCGGGAGCTGAACCCCGGGGAGGTGGGTGGGGTGGGGGCACTCGGGAGCTGAACCCCGGGGAGGTGGGTGGGGTGGGGGCACTCGGGAGCTGAACCCCGGGGAGGTGGGTGGGGTGGGGGCACTCGGGAGCTGAACCCCGGGGAGGTGGGTGGGGTGGGGGCACTCGGGAGCTGAACCCTGGGGAGGTGGGTGGGGTGGGGGCACTCAGGAGCTGAACCCCAGGGAGGTGGGTGGGGTGGGGAGGTGGGCGGGGTGGGGGCACTCAGGAGCTGAACCCCGGGGAGGTGGGCGGGGTGGGGGCACACAGGAGCTGAACCCCGGGGAGGTGGGTGGGGTGGGGAGGTGGGCAGGGTGGGGGCACTCGGGAGCTGAACCCCGGGGAGGTGGGCGGGGTGGGGGCACTCACAGAAGCTGCTGTCTCTGGGCTGTGCTCATCCGGCTGAGCTCTGAGGGCCGGGGCTTGTTGCTCTCCCTGCTGTGGACACAGAGAAGCCACGTCAGTCAGCACCCAGCATCCCCTGAACACCTTCCCGTGGGCAGAGGTTGGCTCCTCCCTTCCTGGAGCAGACATCGTGGTGGCCGAGGTGACCAAACCGCTGCAGAACCACAAGTTCCATGCTGCACTGTGGCTGTGGAGGCTGGACCCGGACAAGCAGAACAGCTGCCTGACAGTCCTGTGACCGCCGGCCCCAAGCTGCTGTGCATGGAACCTGGTGACTCCTGCAGCTCCTCCTGGCTCCGTGAGGCATGGAGGGAGTGGTCAGCCAGGAACACGACACACAGCATCTCCACCCCACCTGCCTGGCCAGGGCAGGCTGCACAGACACCTCACGCTTCGGGCCAGATGACCCTGGCAGGCAGAGCCGGTCCCACTCCCACAGCACAGGCCACTTCCCAGGAAGGCTGAGTCACCCACCCATGCCGACATGTCCCCAAGTCCTCTCTCTAGAAAGCACATGCTATTCTACAGTGGGAAGCTGCACCTGCCCTCCTGATGACTGAACTTGGGGACAGGGACACAGACCCCCCATAGATTCTGCCCTGCCTGCATCTATGGGGAGGGGGTACCAGCGAGTGCTGCGGTCCCCCATGGACAGGTGGAGGAACTGAGGTTTCCTGAGTGCTGCTGGTTATTCCCTTTAGTTCTGGGATCTCCAAACCACCAAGCTGGGCCCTGACTCAGGGTGCAGGCGGGCCAGGACACTCTCATCTCTGACGTCTACCCCAGGCAGGCTCTGGCTCCCTGCGGAAATTCTCACCCTCAGGTAACCGTGGGAATCTCTGGGAGCTCACTTGCACTCCCTGTGGTCAGCTGGCCAAGGCAGCTGCCCACCTGGCTGCACGTTCAGATGGGACAGCGACCTGGGCCTTGAAAGGAAGAGAAAATCTTCAGGGCCACACCAGGTGCCTTCCCAGACCTGCCGTCCACACAGTGAGGTGGGACCCAGAGGACGGCGGGAAGGTGGAGCCGCGGAGTCCTCAGGCCAGGAGACTTGATCTTTTATTCATGGATCTCTTAAAATATGAATGACAGACATTTTGTGTCTGCCCAAAATAGCCCTCAGCGCCCGCTTTCTTTTAACCCTGGCTCTGTGCTGACTTGGGGAAGGACTCAGTCCCCATCCCTTCCTGCTCACACCGGCAGATGACAGCCCCTCGCGTCTCCCGTCCCCTCCGCCCGCTCAAAGCCACAGCTCCATTCATCCCAGGGGCTCTGCCAGGGCCGATGACATCTCCCCACGGCCTCTCCTGGGCCAGCCTTGCCCCGATGCGGAAGCTCTGCCCCTCTGGCCGGCTGACCCCCTCCCTGAGTCCACCCCTGAGCAGCAGCTCCCTCAGCGACTGCCCAGAGCTGTCCTGGGTCCCCACCCTTGCAGAAGCCATCAGCGTGGGGCCCCCTCCTCTAGGTGCACCCCTGGTGCCAGGACAGAGCCCTCAGCGGGGGCAGCCACGTGCTGGCGTCAGGAGACCTGAGCTCAGGCCCAGGGTAGCCTTCCTGGTTGGGGAAACCTTGGGCCCCGGAGCTGCACCCTCACTTTAAGAGATGAAATAGCAGTGGGGGCAGGACCAATGCCTCCCAAGGTCGCAAAGCAGAGGAGCTGCACCCAGGGTGGCTGCAGTGCCCACAGGGCCAGGCGCAGCACCTCCTTCTCCCCACTGCAGGGACCGCCCCCCATCCACACGTCCCACACGCTATCCTCCCAGGCGGGACGCACAGCCTCCCAGTGGGGTTTCCCGAGTTCAGGGTCCTGGGAACAGAGTGCTGGGCAGTCACTGTCACGGGCCAAGGTGACCCGTAGGGCAGCACCGGCAGTGACGCGACTCCGAGAGGCCTAACAGCAGGAAGCCGTGGAGGAATTCCAGCCTAGCTCTGCCCAGTGTGGACCCTCGCCAGTCCCCACAGCACTCCCTCCAGGCAAGAGCAGCGACATCACCACCATCCCCCTCCTGACAATCGCCCACAAAGCGCACACAGGAGGCCGAGGTCCAGAGCTTGGGGGGTCACCGGGGTCAAGTGTCGCTCGATGCCTGCTTCCCAGCCAGGAGCGACGTGATCCCCAAACACGGGCCCTGCCCTGGCCTCTGAGATTCCAGCTCTGCACCCCGCACCCCAGGAGCATGAGGCCCTCAGGGCAGGGTGCCAGGACGGGATTGAGAGGACTGAGGGTTGGGAGGGGCCGCGGGGCAAGGACCCAATGCTTGGGTTCCACAAGGACGGCTCTGCCAGCCCAAGCCAGATATTCTCCCCGCTAGGTGGGAAGGGGAGAAGTGGGAGACAGGGCTCCAGGCTGCGAAGGAAGGGCTGTCCACCCTCCAGCCTCCCAGGCCACTGGTGCTCGCCTGCTGACCCCTCAAGCCCAGAGCACATCAGAGTCCATGAGTGGTGGTCAGTGGGGCAGAGATCTGCCTGCTGGGACCTAGGTGCAGTTCCCAGAGACGTGGCCCACCGCCCAGGCACGCCGCGCCCCAGATCCCAGGGTCTCACACCTCCTGCAATACCAGGGTCAGAGCTCCCTAGAGAAACAGCAGGACTGACTGGCAGGAGATGTCCAAGACGCACCTGGCATACCTGCTGGTGCTGGGCAGTGGGAAAGAGCTAAAAACACAATCCCCACCTCAATGGGGCTAAAGGGAGCCGGAGGCAACTGCAAGAACTCCCAGCGGCCAACGCTGGAACAGTTTCAGCACCGAAATCAATAGTGCTGGATGACAACCCCGAGTGTAAACTAAACATCCATCTGTCCAGACCAACACCAAGGCATGACTGATACATATTCGGGGAGGACAGACAAAGCTCCTTTCCCAGCAGAATTCCAAGCAATCTTTGTCACTGCTCTGTCTTCCAGGAGGTGGAGCACAACCCCCACTCCAAGCCCGGGCTGCAGAGTGACTTCCTTCCAGAGAGGACAGCATGGAGGGGGGGCCTCAACCCACCAGGGGTCAGCTCAGCCTCACAGTGGTCAGTCACGGTGACAGGGTGTGCCCGATACAGTGGAGTGACAGTGGGCCTCCACCTCTGGGGGCTTCGTCCCCACACTCAGTCCCTTCCTGTACCGTGAGAAAAACATCAGACAGCTCCCAGCTGAGGGACAGCTTCCTCAGAACAGTCAAGGTCACCAAAACCAAGTAGAGTCTGAGAAACTCACAGCCAAGAGGGGCCTAGGAGCTGTGACGTCTGTCACCTGGGATCCTGGACAGATCCTGAGGCAGAAAGGGGTCGTTAGGGAAAAATGAAGGAAACCTAAGGTATGGGCTTTAGTTAACTATTAATTACTTACAGCTCACTGTTTCTCTTTTGATACTGGTTCCTTACGTGACAAACACACCACACTCACGTCACAGGAAAAGCACGCAGGTATGCCGGAGCTCCACGGAGCTCTCGGTACCATCCTTGCCATTTTCTACGAGTCTAAAGCCTGTCTAAAACAGGGCCCATTCCATGAGCTCCACCAGGGTCAGGAGGCACTGCTTCCTGAGCCTCATCTGAGGAGGGACAGGGACTTCCGGCGACAGGAGGCTCTCAGGGCTGAGAGCAGCCCCGCACAGAGCCGCAGACAGCCCTGAGGCAGGGGCACATCCTCCTCGGCCTGGGGGCTGGGTGTTTACACAGCTCTCTCCCTTCTGCGAGCCCCAAGCACATTTTTCAGATGAGAAAACTGAAAATAGGGAAATGATACTTGACCAGGGTCACATTTTTGTCCAAGAACCAGGAATGTTCGGTCGTCACATCTCCACTTCGGGCGGCCGCTCCTAGTCTGGACCCAGTGCTCCACCGTGGGATGCCGGCTGGAGTTGCCTGGGCCTGCAGCGCGTGACCTACCACCCCCGGGCCTGGGCAGCTGGGCCATGAAAGGATGGACCCCAGGTTTGACATTGCACACAGCCCCTGCTTTCTTCTCAGATGGAAAGTTAGTAGGAGAAAGAAAATTATTTTTAAAAAGGCAAAATAAGACCAGGTGCGGGGGCTCATGCCTGTAATCCCAGCACTTTGGGAGGCTGAGGCAGGCAGATCATAAGGTCAAGAGATCGAGACCATCCTGGCTAACACGGTGAAACCCCATCTCTACTAAAAACACAAAAAATTAGCCGGGCGCGGTGGCGGGCGCCTGTAGTCCCAGCTACTTGGGAGGCTGAGGCGGGAGAATGGCGTGAACCTGGGAGGCGGAGCTTGCAGTGAGCTGAGATCGAGCCACTGTACTCCAGCCTGGGCAAAAGAGCAAGACTCTGTCAAAAGAAAAAAAGAAAAGAAAGGAAAAGGAAAAGGAAAAGGAAAAGAAAGGGAAAGGAAAGGAAAGGAAAAGGAAAGAAGGAAAGGAAGAAAGGAAGAAAGGAAGAAAGAAAAAGAAAAAGAAAAAGAAAAAGAAAAAGAAAAAGAAAAGAAAAGAAAAAAGAAAGAAAAGGCAAAATTAGAGATGCACAAATGAATGAGGAAGGCCCGGAAGCTGAGACAGAACAGAGCAGCCTGGCCTCTTTCCAGCCAGCTCTGAAAGCTGGGCTGTGACTACACAGCTCCTGCCTGAGCCTGAAGCCTCAGCACCCACACCTGGGCGGTGCCTCCCACCCCCTGGGGAAGGGCGGAGGCTGCTCTCCTTTCGCCGGCATGTCACCCAGGCACAAAGAGCCGGAAAGAAAAGCTGCCGGGAGAGAGGTGCCACAGGCAGCAGCTTATCGGCAGGCTGCATCCCCTGCAAGGTGACAGCGAGGGTCATGCAGCCGCCGCCCTCCTGGTTGAGCTGTCCTGGGTCGCACACACCACAGCAGGCTGGCAGGGCCACATCCACATTGCCAGGGCACAAGGAACCTGCCACTGGCAAATGGCTCACTGGGTGACAGGGTTCTGGAGGGAGCATCTCAGTGCGTCAGGAGGGCTCATGCTGGGGACCAGGCCTTGCCCAGGGCAGGAGGGCGGAGGGGCCTCACTGAGGCCCAGGCCTGCTGGCTCGGCCGTTCACGCACTAAGGGTCCAGAATCCACCACCCCAGCTCTCAGCAGGGGGCAGGGGAGGGGCACTGTGATGCCAGCAGCCAAGGGTGGGGCAGGGGCCTGCCTCTTCCCTGAAGAACAAACCACATCCAGACCCGTGGTGAGGCTGGGCGGCATGTGCCTCCCACACAAGTAGGTACAGCTCGGGAGAGCAGCCGCACTCACACCAGGCCCCGGCCCTCCTGGGGAGGATGCACGAGGCAGCTCCCACCCCAAGGGGACAAGCTCCAGGGATGTGTGTCCCAGGGGCCTGCATGTGTGGGTCCCACACCCTCAACACGCCTGACGGCAGGCCTGAGCCATCCCCACGGGCCACCCTCTGTGGGACGGAGTAAGGGGCAGGGTAGGGTGTGCAGCATTAGGCGGGCGTCAGGGAAAGGTCCACTCCAGAGGGGAGACGGGAGCCCCCGTTAGAGGCACGGGAAGAGCATGGTAGGTGCTCAGGCGCCTCGGCTGAGCACAGCGGGGTTTCTGCAGGACAGAGGCTGTGGCAGAACAGGGAGCTGCGGGGACCCCCAGTGGGGCCTGGCAGGAGCTGTGGCCAGTGTGGGGGGAGGGGCACTCGAGGGAGCTCGGCATCAGCAGAGTCACCAGGCTCCTCACAAGGGTGGGCCTGGGTGCCCCCGAAACATACCCCACAGCCCCCGCCAGCCTCACGAACTCACGCCCTGGGAACGGGGTACCTGCGTGGAGCACCAGCTGAAGCCCCAGCTCCTGGCCTCTGCAGGGTCAGGAGCCACCGTGGCCCACAGGTCCGGCTCATATCCCTCCACCTTTGGACCCGGGTCAGCCCCACAGCTCAGACAAGGCCACCCCTCCCAGATACTCACCTGTGGGCTTGGCGTCGGCTGCTAGCCTTGAGCCCCAGCAGCTCGGGCAGGGCGTCCCTGAGCGGGTGCAGGTCCCCCACCACCACCGTGGCCCTCCGCCTCCGCTCCTCCCTGTGCTTCTGCTCAGCCAGTTTTATGGCTTCGATTTCTAAGGAAGGAGAAACGACGTTAGAGGCAAGCAAGAGGCGGAGGGAGGAGCCCAGGCCCAGAGCCCCTGGCCCACGAGAGACCTGGCGGGGTGCCCAGCCCTGCTGCCTCTCTCCTTCCTGCTGTCGCCCCCATTCCGCCCCGGGAACCTGCAGGGTGGGCAGGCTTGAGTTATTTTTTTTCCCCTTAATGACAGAGCTGTGCTTTTTAATCGCAGGGCTGACAATGAGGTGGAGCTGCAGCCACTGAGGATTTCTCCTGCAAAGGGATGCTGGCAGCCGAGGCCGGAGCACGCATGGGGGAGTGCACACAGCTACCGAGCAGAGGGGAAAATGAGGAAAGGGGTCCTCAACTTAAGATGGCAAGTCACAGCCTGGGAGGCTCAGCTTTGTTCCCAGGAGGAAGAGGGCTCCTCAGAGGGAAGGGGAGGAGCCCCAGGACAGACCTGAGGGCTTGGGGCCATGGGGGGTGGCAGGCAGGGCTGAGGCCTCCACACTACAGAAGGGATTTGGGCAGGGTCTGGAGAGAAGGGGCATGGCCTTGGGATTTGATTTAATTTAAAAATTTATTTATTTCAAAATTGCTAAGAGAACACATGCTCGGACATGCTGCTCGCTGCACGTGGCTCCTGGAGGCTGTGGAGTGCGGACAAAGCCTGCTCTCTTCAGGGCAACCCAGTGGGACAGGCCTGCAGCTCAAACACTGCCAGCTCGTGACACAGGCCCGGGCATGGCAGCACCTGTGCCCCCCGGGAGGAGTGCCCAGGTTTCCAGAGGTGCCAAGAGCCAGCTCCTCTCCAATCCCGCTGTCTGGGACGGCGGTGCCCCCTCTCAGCCCCCAGGGCAGGTGACTCACGGAGCAAGGACTGAAGGGCCCACCCTGACCAACCCAAAGTCAGGGATGCCACCCTGCCCTGGGTCCCTGTAGCAGGGAGTGTTTACCTGGCTCCAAATCGCTGACAAGAACCTGGGACAAAGACCGCCCTTCCTCTGGGCCCTCAGCCCCCAGTGCAGCTTGAGAGCTTGGAAGGTGTACACCAGCTCTCCACAGCCTCGGGAATCATAAACATAAAGTAAGAATCCAGCACTTCTCAATCCTGCCGGGACTGTGGCAGACACGTTACACAGCACCTCATCCAAAAGAGCCAGGGCACCCTGGAAACCTGGGGTAGGGAGGGGCGGGCCAGGCCAGGTGGCTCCTTCACAGGCTGCAGACCCAGGCCAGGGAAAGCAAAGCAGATGCGTGTGGCTCCCATGAGGACAGACACAAAGGCCTGCACCTCTGCAAGTCAAAGCCAGAAGCCTTTCAAAAGAATGATACTTATGCCCAAGCAGGGTGAGCCTCAGGCATGCAAGGATGGTTCTCCCGGGAAATGCCTCAGGGTGACCCTCCACAGTGGCCACTCAAGAGGCGAGAAAGCCTATGGTCACCACCACCAGTGTCCAGAGGATTCTGCACAATTCACTGCCCACGAATGGGAAAAATTACAACGAAACCACAAACGGAAGGAAGCTCCTTGACAGAGATGAGCTGCTAGAAACCCACAGTGAGTATCGCATTTCAGGGCAAAACATTAGACACTCAATGATAAATCAGAGCAAGGAAAGGACGACCACAATATCGACAGTCCCACCTGGCCCGCTCCATTCTGAGAGGGGAGGGAGGGAGCGAGGCAGTGGCGGGCGGGACCCACGCCCTGGGAACACTCAGCACTGCTCTCATCTGCGGCACCTGGGGGAGGGGAGGCCCCACACAAACACCAGCTTCCATGCAGCCAGGAGAACCCACGGGAGAGTGCAGTTCTTCTCTGTCAGCTACTCCAGAAAAATCTGATGCTGCCTCAATTAAAATTTCAACAGGATTTTTAGTCAAAACTGTGCAGCTAATTCTAAATTTTATTTTTTAAAAACAATTAAATGCATAAGAATAGTAAAGACATTTTTTAAAAAGAACAAGCAATAAGAAAGTAGGACTATCGGATATTAAAGCAAATGATGCCGCCTAGGAGGACAACCAAGGGTTGGGAAAGTCAACTGGGACATGTGTGTGATTCCAACTACCCACCCTCCCGCCCACGGGACGTGGGGAGCCACTGCCTGCGGCATGGTTGGGGCACAGGCTGTGTGGTGAAGCATGGAGGCACTACCCGGGCACCGGGCAGGTGTGTGGACAAGACAAAACAAGGGACACAGAGTGACTAGGGGAGGCCTCCAGGAATGGGAAGGCCCTGCAAGGCGGAGGAACAGCAAGGATAGTTTGTGAGCTTGTCCTCACAAAGACAACGGGGGGTGGCACGTGCAGATCTACAGCAAAAATTTCAACATATGTTGGGGAAAAAAAAGCAAACTGAATGAAAAAATCCACACATAGAGAAACTCTGCATTTCTAAAGATCCTAAGGAATCTACCAAATGACTACCAGACCTAATCATGATATTAGTAAATTCATAGGATACAAGATCAATATTTTAAAAAAACAATTGTGTTTTAATATACTAGCAGACAGCTGACAAAAAACTGCATTTATGATAGCATAAAAAACTATAAAAATACTTAGCAATAAGCTTATTACAAGATGTAAGACCTCGACACTACAACTATGTAACACTGATGATGAAAATTAAACAGAGAGATACACCACGTTCACGAACCTGAAGATCTGCTTTGCTAAGATGGTAATTCTGAACTGATCTATACATTCAATGAAATCCCAATCACAGCCCCACTAGGTTTTTGTTGTTTTTAAAGAAATAGACAAGCTAATAATAATTTATGTGGAAATGCCAAGGACCTAGAATATCCAAAGCAACCTTAAGACAGACAAACCAACAGAAAGGACTTGTGTTATCTGACTTCCAGACTAACGCTAAAGCTCTAGTAATCAAGACAGCCTGGTATTTGCTAAGGTGCAACAAACAGATCAGTGGAACAGAAACAGCCCAGAAGCAGATCCACACTCAGGAGACTTCCTGATTTTTCAAAAAGGCACCAAAACAATCCAATAAGGAAAAAAAGTATTTATAACAAATGGTGCTGGAACAACTGAATATCCACATTAGGGGAGACAAAGGAGCTTAACCACTAACATCACACAGACAAACAATTCAACATAGAAAAAAAAAAAAAAAACTCTAAATATGAAAGTTCAAAGTATAAAGTTTTAAAAGAGGAATAATATCTTCATGGCTTGGGAGTAGCCAAAGTTTTCTCAAACAGGACACACATACACATACATACACACACACAGTAACTAATATAAATTAAACTTCTCAAAATTAAACCCCCGTTTATTAAAAAAAGAAAGTTCTCACACCTGTAATCCCAGCACTTAGGGAGGCTGAGGTGGGCAGATCACGAGGTCAAGAGATCGAGACCATCCTGGCTAACACGGTGAAACCCCATCTCTACTAAAAATACAAAAAAAAAAGCCAGGTGTGGTGGTGTGTGCCTGTGGTCCCAGCTACTCAGGAGGCTGAGGCAGGAGAATCTCTTGAACCCGGGAGGCAGAGGTTGCAGTGAGCTGAGATCGCACCACTGCACTCCAGCCTGGGCAACAGAGCACGACTCTGTCTTAAAAAAAAAAAAAAGTTAAGAAAATGAACAGGCAAGTCAGAGTCTGGGAGAAAACATCTGTAAAACACATATCCAACCAAAGACTGGACTCTAGCACAAAGAATTCTTAGAGCTCAATAATAAAAAGGCAAAAAGCCTCATGAAAAATGAGTTTCACTGACACTGAAACACAAACGGGCAGGGAGTACATGAAAATGCTCTTTTGGCGGCAATGAAAACGAGCACCACCGTGAGACACCATTTCACGGTCACCAGACGGCCAAGGCTGAGGAGACGGCGCGCCACGCACCACCGTGAGACACCATTTCACGGTCACCAGACGGCCAAGGCTGAGGAGACGGCGCGCCACGCACCACCGTGAGACACCATTTCACGGTCACCGGACGGCCAAGGCTGAGGAGACGGCGTGCCACGTGTTGGCAAAGCTGCAGGGCACGGACTCTCACAGGCTTCTGGTGGGAGCGTGAACGTACAACCGCTCTAGAAAAGCGTCTGGCAGCTGCTTATAAAACTAAACATACACCTACCCTATGACCCAGCATTCCATTCCTCAGCATTTACCCAAGAGAAATGAAAACATGTCCACAAAAAGACTTGTGAAGAATGTTCAGAGCAGCCTTATTCATAGTAGCTAAAAATGGAAAAAAGCCCAGGTGCCCATCAGTAGGAAAGTGAATAACCAATGGTGTATTCACACAATGAAATACTTCTCAGCAATCAAAAGGCATGGACTGCTGCTACACGCAGCCTGGATGGCTTTCAAAACCATCACGCTGAGCAAAAGCAGCCAGACCCAGAAAGAGTGCATCCTACATGATTCCACTTATATGAAGTCTAAGGCAAGGGAAACTCAACTGTGGACGAGAAAGGACGACACAGTGGTTATTACCTCTGGGGCAGGGGGAAGAGGTAACTGACTGGGAGGGCGCGGGACTGCCAGGGAATGGTGGTGACGGTCCGTAACCTGAACGGGATTTCAGCTGCACAGGTGTCTACAACATTTGTCAGAAATCACTGAATGGCACACTTAAGATCTGCATTTCATTTTATGTAAATACAATCTTCAAAAGAAAAAGAAAAAAAAGCACCATAAATTCTAGCAGAATTATTTGGGGTGGAGTGTACTGATGTCTGCAATTTACTTTGAAACGCATTTTAAAAAACCCATGTTGGTACATGGACAGAAATTGCTAGATGAACAGTTATGTAATAAAGATTGTAAAATCTGTATGGTGGGTACAGGGTATTCACTAAAAAATTCTTCCCACTTTCCTAAATAAAATTTTTCATAATAAAATACAAAGTAAAAGTAACTCGGGAAATGTAGCTAAGGCTGTATTTAAAGACAACTTACAGCCTTTCATTCCTGAACAAAACATATACAAACAGATGAGCAGAGCAACTGAAACCCAAAAAAAGCTAGAATGGGAGAATGATCAAAATAAAAACAAGTAATTTTGAAGACAAAAGAGTAGAACTGACCATTAAACATTAATTATTAAACGGAAGAGACATAACTTCTTAATCAGAAATGAAAGGGGGATACAAATAAAGAACGATAAAGAAAATAGAATATTTAATAAGAATGCAACTAACACATAAAGACTGAGCTCTGACTAAATTTGATTATTAATATTACTTACAGACAGGGACCCACTCTGCCGCCCAGGCTGGAGTGCACTAGTGCAATTATGGCTTCCTGCAGCCTCAAACTCCTGGGCTCACGCGATCCTCCCACCTCAGCCTCCTAAGTCACTAGGACTAGAGGCTCAGAGGCACGCACCACCTACTCTGCCTAATTTTTACATTTTCTGTAGAGACAAGGTCTCGCTATGTTGCCCAGGCTAGTCTGAAACTCCTGGGCATAGGTGATCCTTCCACCTCAACCTCCCAAGGTGCTGGGATTACAGGCATAAGGCACCGTCCCCAGACAAATTCGATCATTTCGTGAGTGGCCAAAATTGACTCAAGTCGTGAAAAAAGAAAAAAAAGGACCAAGAGCCGTGGAATAAAATTTACACATCATCAAAGAATTATGGCCTAGAAAATCAGGGTCCAAATGGCCACAGTCCAGGAGTCCATCCAAATCCACTTTCACAGCTATGCTAGGAACTGTGAAAAAGAAAATGGAAGAATGAATCATTTCCCTAAGAAATATCCAAAAAGGGACAGAAATCATAAAACTAATAATCACGAAATAAACCGACAAAGTTTTCTAGGTCCTACCTCTGAAAAACATAACCTCCAAAGAAAAAATAAAGCAGATCATACACTAACGTATAAGAACATAAAAAAGAAATTATTTCAAATTAATTTCACAAAGTCAGCAGAATCACACACAAAAAAATAACCAAAAAATACAAAATAATTTTGACGAGAAACAATCTTAGAACAACACTGGCAAATATCCAGCATCATGAAAAATAAGGAGATATTCAAAACAACCTGAGTGGGAAGTGTGGCTTTCAGCCCTCAGAGACATGCGGCTGCGAGCACGTGGCAAGGCTGACCTCCTACGTGGAGCCTCAGAAAAGAGGGAGCCACAGGCCTGAAAGGGTCTGGGGACCCCAGGAGCCCTGCCCACACCCACATCGCTATGCACAGACACTGGTTTTCACCGTGGGCAAGGCCTGAAAGGATTTCACACACCACCACAGGCACTTCTGAACCATAAAGACTCCACAAGCACAGGTTACTTCCATAACAAAAAATTTCACAGTGGGGAACAAAAATAGGTAATTTTTACAAACAAGGAGCCGAGAGCAGCAGCTTCCCAAGGCCGTCCTCCAAAGGGAGGCAGCCCAGCTCTGCAGGTACCCACAGGGATGGGGTGGCAGTGCCACCCGTAACAGGCCAGACCAGTTTGGCTGTGCTGCCCAGTCTCCATGGCACCCTCTCTGTGCCTCCACTGTCCTTTGACCCCCACAGCCGCCTCTAAAGGGTCTTGGGAGATCCCCTTGGGCACCCTGGAGGGAGTGTGGCTGGTGTAGGCCAGACGGTGCGGCTGTGGGAACAGGAGGGCCCACGGGATGGGACCTGGGCCGGCAGCTGCCTTGAGATGCAGGCATGGACTTACTCTGCAACCACTGCTCACGCCTTAGCTTCATTTTCTCCTTCTTGGGCAAAACGGTCTTGGCCTCTGCACCTGAGGAAAGAGAACATGGGAGTGAGAAAATGTGTCCAGGTGGCACCCCCATGACCTGAGAATGGGCTGGGGAAGGTTCTGACGGTGGAGCCACCGCAGTCACTGCAACTGGTCTGGCCTGTGCCAGCCTCTCAGGCTCCAGAGCTCTGGGCAGCACCAGGGGCACCTGCAGCCTCAACCCGGCCTTGGGAGGCTCTCTCAGCAGCGGCCCCCCGCAGCGATGGCCTGGCCACTTACTCCTGACCTGCCCCGGAAAGCAGGTGTCCCAACACGGAGGCATCCTCCCCACCCATGCCCCGAATGACTGTCACGGCAGGCCACAGCAAAGCCATGCAGGAACACCCAACGGCTCATGAAGGGGCCACGAACAGGGCAGAGGCCCCTACGGGGACATCCCCAAGATCCTGCACGGTCACGTGAGGCCCAGCGATGTACCTGCTCCCTGCCCCCTGCCAGGCCCGATGACGTGCTCAGTGGACCAGAGGCTCCATCCCTGGACCCCACAAAGCGGCCCTCTCAGGGAGCCCCCAAAAGTGAACTCCACGGGTGCCCCTGTGCTTGGTCCACACGGAGCTCAGGCACCTGCCCGGCAGGCGGGGAAAGGAGCCTCATTTGCTCGGGGAACGGGGCAGGGGCGGGACGAGCCTGCAGGGCCATGCAGGTGGGGACAGCTGGAGAGGGCTCTGGCCGCTGTGTCTCTGACTCTAGTCTGCTCTAAAATAGAGGGGACTCAAGGGCATCCCCGTTTCCTCGGCCAGAACTGATTTCCAGGACGGTTCAGCCTCCGCCGCATTCTCCCCAGAACACACCTCCCAATTTCTCTTCTAATGCATGCAGACCTTCCCGGCTTGTCCAACAAATCCGCCACGCAACAAATCCGCCACGCAACAAATCCGCCACGCAACAAATCCGCCACGCAACAAATCCGCCACGCAACAAATCCGCCACGCAACAAATCCGCCACGCAACAAATCCGCCACGCAACAAATCCGCCACGCAACAAATCCACCACGTCGAAGGAAAAACAAAGCAGAAGCAAGCCCTGCCTGGAGAAAGGCAGTCACTGCGCTCAGCATTTCAGACTTCACTTTGGGAGCTGGTGTGAAACCTCCAAGGCCCAGGGCTCCTTCCTGCAGGATCTGATCCCCTCCCACAGCTTCCCGGTGTGCCTGGGCTGACCTACTTTCCTCCACTGCATCCCCGACCTCTCGCTCCCGACCACAAAGGGGAGGGGCTGATTCTGCAGCTTTTCTGTAGTTCTGAAATTGTTTCAAAAGAAAAATGAATCTAAGACCAGTGGAAACTGACCCGGACGGTGACCTGTGTTGTGTCGGAATGAAGAAAACGAGGCCCGGGCGCAGGCCAGGTCGGGAACGCAGCACAGTGACCCTTCTCAGCTCTGGCCCCAGGGAGCTCCCCAGCCCCATTGCCATGGCACCACGAAAACAGGAACCAAACACGCTACTCCTGCAGGAGGAGAGGGCCTGGAATGCTGCAGCCGGAGCAGAGGCTGCCTGGAACTGCTGGCGGCGGCCCCACGACCCCCAGCTCCCCCTGCTTTCTGGGCCCAAGGCGCCCTCACTGAAGTGCCCTGGCACAGGTTCATGCCTCCTCCCCTTCCAGCCTCTGGACAGGCTGACGGGTGTTCACGAGCTACGGAGGGGGCTCGCCCTGTGAGTCCCGCTTCTCTCTCCTCCGTGGGCCCAGGGCCACAAGGACAGGGCAGGTGGGTGCACCCCCACCTGTGAAGGGGACAGTGTGAAGTCAGCTCGAGCTGCTCCGGTTTCTAAATTTACCCACGACAAGGCCAGCACACCACAGCTCCCACAGGTCTGCAGAAGCACAGGAGTGTCCTGTGGGTACAGCAGAAATGCCAGCTCGGAGGAGGGCCGGGCTGGGAGTGCAGATGCTGGGCCTCAAGCAAGGGTGTCTGGAGCCACCGCTGTCCTGGGCCTCACCCCCAAACCCAGATCCCAGCAGCGCCAGCAGTACAGCCCCAGTGGCTATGCGGAGGGGAAGGTCACCAAATACGTCTGATTAGTGACAAAATGACAGCAGCAGGGGCCACCCCTGAGGCACGTCATCCCAGCCTGAGCTTCTCACATGGGGCCTAGCAGTCTGAGCGGGCACCAGGAATACCAAGGCAGAGCTGACGGTAAAATGCGACTTCACAGAATCAACCGGCCAGCCGAGCTGAGGCTGCAGAACGGTGCACCCTTGGAAGGGCTGTGACCTAGGGCTTCCCGCACTAGGCCGCCTGCTGCACGGGCGGCTCAGACACTGCCACTCCTTCTGGCCCGCTCAGTCCCTGACTCAAACGCGTCAGGGAAGATGGGCAAGTCCCCATTAAACTGAAACTCAAAGAACCCCAGCCAGTGGCTGAGGCAAGGCTAGAGGAGGTGCTCAAACCCTCATTCCCCCCAAAGCCGAGACGGGATCCCCCCAAGACAGAGCCCAGGCCTCCTTGTGGGGAAATATGCTGCAGGTGCCACCCACTCCCCCTCACACTCGGCAGAACCCTCTGGGGCCACCCGTTGCTACTGGCAGTGAACAAGCCCAAAGGGTGAAAGACAAGGCCTCAGGGCACGGGGTGGCTCCTGCGATCTGGGTCCTGGGGCCACCCAGTGGTACCCAGGGTGCTCCTGGCTGCCATAGCGCCTGTACCTGAGCTGGACTGCAAGGCAGATGGATGGTGGAGATGAAGACGAGGAGGATGAGAAGCCATGCCCTCGCCTGAGTCTTCAGGAGCCCAGGATGCAGCTGCCACGGAGCCGACCTGCAAAGAGGCGCCCGGCTCACGCAGCGTGCGGGGACGGACCGTGCGGGACAGCCCCTCCAGTCCAGTGGGAGGCACTCTGAGGAGGACTCGAGGGCCATTCGAGGAACAGCCTCTCTAACCCTTGACTCTGGAAGATCCCGCCTGGGCCCTGCCCTTGGGGAGTGACTAGAAACCAGCCCTGAGCTGACTCGCCACGGAGCCCTGGGGGTGGCTTTGGTCCCCGAGCGCTGGCCAGCCCAGCAGAAACTTGCAGCATGAGCTGAATGGCTCCGCAGAGAGAGAGGGATGGGCACACACTCAGGCACAGGCTGCCTAAAAACCATGACAAGAAAAGGGAAGGTGAGGTGCTGCCATGCAGGAGCCAGGACACGTGCTCTGGAAGTGCAATTCTGGGGACCCCGGGCCAGCCAGCCGCCCCGCCAGACCACGCCTTCTCAGCTGCCACGGTGCTGCCTGCGCTCTCTCATCTGAAAAAGGGGTCCCGGGAACAGATGCAGTAAACCAGGCACAGGGGAGGACGCCACATGTGGCAGCCACACAGCAAGCCTGTGCTGCAGGCAGCTCACCTGGTTCCCAGCCCTCACCAGGTCAGCAGACACAGAACCAGGCTCACCAGAGTTGGGCTGTAGGGTGACGCGGTTCACGGGGCACGTGTTCTGACGGACCCTAAGGAAAATCAGCATGAGACTGGCTTTTCCGTGCACGACATCAACAAGCCATGGTTCTCACCCCACAAAGATCTGTATGAGGCTCAGGCACAGAACACAAGACGCGATGCTGCTGGCACGTGCTGCTTCATCTCGGGCTCGGGTGCCGGGAGATGCTGTGGCCTACAGAGCCGCTCAGATGCTGCCACCACCACCCAGGTCACGAGATGAAGCAGCACGTGCCAGCAGCATCTCATGGTGCTGAGGTTCTCCTCACCACGCCTTCTGGGTGAATGCAAGCTGAAATGCATTGTGGGACAGGCCGTTTGGAGAAAAATGAAGTGGGAATCATCCGTCTCACTCTAGACACAAAAATAAAGTCCTGATGGACTAAATACATTAAAAAGGCACTACAAAAGCACTGCAGAGAACACAAAGGGGCCACAAAACACACAGAAAACACAGAATTTGCTACAGAGAAACTTTAAACCTCCGCAGAGAAAAAAATAACATGAACAAATTCAAAAGAACTACCAATGAGGGGGAGATGTGTGCAGTTAACAAAAGAGATTGCTTCCTTCCTACACAGCTTTCTCAAACCAATAAACAGCCGAAAAGAAAAACAGGAAAAGGCACATACAGACAGCTCACAGCAATGAAGGCTGAATGCAGCCTTGCGGACGAAGAGCCGCACGTTCCACGAGGCAGGCACCGCCGGCTGGGTCCGCGTCGCAGACACCTCGTCCGTATCCTCCACAGGTACCGGCTGCAGGTGGAGGCCGACTTGGGTTCTGCTCCCGGCGGTGTCTGCAGTAGGCAGCCTGGCAACCCCTGTCAAGTGTCAGATGTTCATCAAGCTGGATCAGCAACTCCACCGCTGCGGTCTGATCTACAAATGTCTTTACTCACATTCACAAGGACGGCCCACACTCCCTACAGAGCTGGGTACACCGGACAACAAAACCTCAGCAGCCGTGACGTGAGGCTGCCCCAGAACACAGCCCAGGGAAGCAGCAGGGGCAGACACACACCCACTTGTAAAAACATAGGGGGCTGGGAGCAGCAGCGTGTGCCTGTGGTCCCAGCTGCTCTGGAGGCCGAAGTGGTGGGGAGGATTGCCTGAGCCCAGGAGGTCAAACCTGTAGTGAGCCCAGATTGCACCACAGAGCAAGACACTGACCCCCGCCTCTGAAAAGAAAAAAAAAAAAAGGAGAGGAGCAGATAGACCAAGACGTCTGCAGTGGGGAGGCTGTCACTCAATGGTAGTGTGCATTGAGTTTTTCACAATATCTATCATTCGCCACTTTGCACAACTTCACGAAGAGGCGGTGCTGCCGGAATACGCTGGAGAAAGCACAGCTTTCCCTGGGAGCACTGGTGGGCAAGCATCCAAGGGGGTGCATGTACCCAGCACCGCGGCAGCGGGGAGAAGCGGCAGGAGCACAGGGGACCGGGAGTGGGGCAGTGGGAGGGCCGGGTTCCCCTGCCTCTCTGTTTTCCAGCTTTCTTCCTTTTTTTTTTTGAGACGAAGTCTCACTCTGTCACCCAGGCTGGAGGGCAGTGGCACAATCTTG